GTAGAACTGCATTTCTGCACAAAGAGTTGGGGATTTAGTCAGAATTATTGGCCTCCTCAGCCCTGAAAAGGACAGGCAGATAGATATCCGTCATGCAATACCATCAGGCAGGTGTCTGATTGGTCACAAATTTATTCTGCAGGACAATCACTCCAAACATGCAGTCTAATTCATAAAGAGCTATCTTTAGCCAAAGAAAAACAAGGAGTCCTGGAAGATATGATATGGACCCCAAAAAGCCCTAATCAACATCATTGAGTCTTTCAGGCATTACATACAGAGACAAGCAACTATATCTACAGAAGAACTGGTAGTTTTCCTAGATATTTTGAATAACCTACCCGCCAAGTTCCAAATTAATATTGGTTTGATTACATACACACACTTTTTTTTTTTTTTTTTTTACATGACCATGTGCATGGGAGAATGAGCGTTTGACTGAGGCAATGATTCTTGCTGTGCAACCAAAACTTCCAGAGAAATATTTTTGGTCTATTTTATGTAAGCAGAATGTCTAAAATCTGCATGTGGAACTGTTCTACTTTAGGAAGAAACACACAACAAAGAATTTGTTTTAGGACCATAGAAAAAAACTAAGACAGAGCACATCTGTTAGTTATCTCTCATGGCCGGGATTGTTTCCCGCCATCAACAACAAGGAAAATATGATGATGCCAGTGAGTTTTTGAGAAAATCTTTGGATGATGCATTCTTTAGAAATCAGGGTTGTAGTACTGCACACAGGTCAGCCAGGAAGCTAGTACCTGTGACATATAACAGTGAGCATCAAAGAGAGGATTTTCCCAGCTCCAGTACACTCAAAAACAGTTATTCTACTGTAATAGATTTATGGGGAGATTGTTGCAGAATAATAGCCACATTACCTTTTAAATGTAGAGTGGCTATTAGTATGCAACATGTTTTTTTGCCAGATAACTGCATATACATTGCAATATACAGGGTCAACAAACGCTATAGGCTATTTGCACCAACTTTTTAATATATAAAGTTAACATTTTGCATTAAGGTTATATATTATTTTAGCAATAGAAGAATTTGTAGTTTTACCCAAATAATATACAGTACATCCATCAGCAAATCCTTGTTAGTTTCAGTTGTAGGGGTAAGTGATAGATATATCTTTTTTTATTTTGTAGACATATTTTTTATACATTTTGGCAATAGGTGGTCATTTTCAGCAATCTCTATGTCCGTTTTTTCTTTCTGTCGGTTTCCCCACTGCCCTCTCTATTTGTCTTGCTGACCAGTGCCACCAGGACAGAAAATGATGCTAAATCCAAATTTTACAGTAGTTACTTGAATATTAATAGATGACAAATCTTCCAAGGGGAAAACATATTCTGGTAACAGCTGTCTAAGAGACAATTTCCCCTCATTTTTGGGCTGGGATTTTCTGTAGTAGAGTGGAAAGTAGAAGAAGATCATGTAGAACAAAGACTATGCATTCAAATGGTATTCATGTTCTGATGAAGGGGGCGTGCCCCGGAAACGCGTTAACGTCACTACACACTGGTATCGCCTAGTGGACATCTTACTGCCTGTCAGCTCTTATCCAATGGCTGTGTGACACTCATGTTTGTGTGATGATTCCCCCCGGTCCTGCTGGCTTCCATGACGGGTGCTCCACGTTCCACTGTGGAACGCGGAAGCCGCTCGACGTCCTGGTTGTGACGCGAGCGGCGTGCGTTCAACGGTGGACCGCGGAAGTCACTCGTTCCGGCCGGCGCCTCCTTCCACATCCTGGGGCTATTTAAAGCCCCAGCTGTAGCAGCATGGCGTTGAACAATTGGCTCTGAACGCCTGCTGACTACGGAACCCTAAAGCACCGGACTGTGTCTCCTGAAAACTACAAGAGCATCTGCCAGCTGGACCCACACCCTGCACCTCGCTGCTCTGCCAACCCTCAAACAGCAAGTATCGCTCCACTGGGAGCATGTTACAAACTGTCAGCTGCTTAAACCATACACAATTGTGCTGCTGTTACCTTTGATACCGTTGTGGGGAGATTCTAGTGTCGTTCGGGAGACCTGTTTAACCATACTGCTTCACCAAGAAGATAAATGCACCATTGAACCCTATTCTATACCTTTGTATAGCCATCATTGGCTATGATGCAAGAGTCTCAAACTCCCCTTAAGACTGGGAGTGACTCCTGAGACTCACGCCTGAGAAGCCAAATTTCCATACACGCCATCACTCCCTCTCCGCAGTTGCGCTCCAGTGCGACCGAGTACAGTAGACGTGACAGTTTGTATTATTCGTTTTTTTACTCATGTTTACTGAAATAAAATTGATCTGCACCAAGAAAGGCGCCCCTTTTGTGCTTATTTCCTAGATTCTCAGCTTTCCCGGCTTCTTTGGGGCAGCATCCTGCAGTATGCCCAAGAGGATTTCCCACTGAGGATTGACAGTTCGTGGCGCTTCACTGTTTTTACTTTGTAAATGGTATTTGAAGACCGATGTATAAAGCACCAGACTGAAGAAAATTGTAATCAGGTTATTGTTTGTTCCAGTCACAGACAGAAAACAACTCCATCCTAAAAAAGAACTTGCAGTTTTTAGCCTCCTGCCTTTCCAACCTGGTGGGAACCCAGCATCAAACCCACTTTTGCTGTGCCAGTCCAAGTGCAAGAGCCTAAAACAGACAAGAATATACATTCCTGTCGTCTAAATCCTTCTCTGAAACATTTAATATATTACTAGCCTAGGTGGCAGATTTGCCCCATCCTAGGCCATCCCATGTTGTTTCCGTGACAATTTCCTACAGTGTCTTTACTTATTTTCACTTTTGTTCCAGAACAATTAAAAAGCTCCCAGGGTACTGTAACATGCAAATAACGACTTCCACTAGAAGCTTGGCACTTGACCTCACTACCTTTTACACCTCATGATCGGCCAGTAAGACTGCCCATCCCATTCAGCAAGTAGGGAGGCCCACAGTGGTACAAACTGTTTGGAGTGAATGTACAAAAGTTTGAGGATTTTGACATCGTGTGTTAGCATGATGTTGGTTGATTCCCAGATCTTAAGTAAGTAAACCACAAATTAGCTTGTTTACTTTTACTTATACAAGCATTTACTAGATATGACACCAAGCACACATAACCCATTATTATTAGGAAAGTAAAATATAGGCAGTGTCTTTCATTGAGCTAACAATGTATTTTATTGGAAGCATTCTAGAACACTCAGTGGTCTTTAACAGACTGTTCTTGTTTTCAGAGGCGAATAAATGCCCAGGTTGTGTTTTAGATTAAATACCTGTTGTGAGATGACATTTGTTTTTTTTAACTACTTGCATATGATGCCCACTATATCCTCTGATTACCAAGAATAGTCACAATTTTCATTGCTTATTTTGAAAACATTAGAACCATATCCTAAAGGAATTAGATTTTACAGTACCTTGTAATTTTGATAAAAACAACATTTCTTTGGTTAAGCAGAGAGAAATATTTCGTTTAGCTGAAGGGCAGGATGTAATTAACTTTGAATTGTGATAAGAGAAGCTAAGTATTTTAAAGCAGTAGCTCCATTTTAAATTCTTTTTTTTTTTTCTTCTGAGATTACATATTTTCTCACTTATGTTTTAGTGATCTCAAATTAACATGTACAATTATAATGACCCCATAATTTTAATATTAGGGTTCCATGTTGGATATTACTAAAGTACAGTGTTTTTGGACCAGGGGTTACTGAGTTCTAAACTCCCATCAAGACCTATAAGAGGGAATGTACTGCATTGTGATGTAGCACCTGTAGGAATGTACATGGCCTAAGAACTGGCGACATTTTGAAAGGATTACATCATCAAATGGCTCACTGTTGTGTTGCCATTTTGCACCTGAAGCAGGTATTATTAGCCAGGTCTCCTAATGGATTTTAGAGAGCATTACAATGTAAAAAAAGTTTTAAAGCACTAAGACTTGCAAATACAATAGAAAATATACCACTTTTATACATGGCTACTAAAAGACTCAACTAGCTATTAATATTATTATTTTTGTCACTGAACATCTTTCATTGGATGTACTCCTCATTATCCAAACGTCTGCCATTGCATGCTTTCATTTTCTACTTGTTTTTTTTTTCCTGTTTAACTTTTTTCTAGTGGGTTAGGTGTCTTGGAAGCTCTTGGGATAATCTGTGCTTTATTGCACAGTGGCTGTATTTGTGGCCAGAAAGTTTAATCTGATATTATACCTTTTAGGCTTAGGAAGGCATTGACTGAGTTATGGGGCTATGAGTAGTCACCTTGCTTGGAACATAAATAAGGAAGTAAGAGCTCTGTTTTTAGTTGTTGTCCATCGTTAGCTATAGTTTACCCTGTAATTCATATATATTTTTTTAAGATTGTTTCTGAAATTAGTCTAGAGAATCATCGAATACAATTATTGACTGTATTCCTAATATCATGTCAAACTGGGACAAAGTGTCCGAATAAACAGTTGTCAAATAAACATTTCACTGTAGAGCAAAAAGGACCAGCTGTGCTTCATACTCAATATGGTTTAATCCTTCAGAATAATCTCATTGCTTTTCTGTGGATACACTTAATTATCCAGCTCCCATAATGTAGATACTATCACCCATTAAAATCCTATAGAACATCACATTAAGTACTTTCATTAAATATATTTACTTTGTGACCAGAATTAATATAAATAAATCTGCCATAGGACAGAACAATGAGACTGCAAATACTGATAGTTGGTATTGTGGTATTAAATGTCCAATAATATTATATTGTGTGGAATTTTATATGACTACAGTTCAGCTTAAATGTGGTATCCTAGTGGTATCTCATGCTAAACACATGTTTTATAGCATTGTTTTTTGTGGGTGACTTTTGATTAAATTAAAGCTGTTTGAATTGATAATTGCAAACATGACTTATTTTTGATGAAAACCTAACCTCAAAATTAATGATAATCTGTTCCAAGGTATCTTAACACTTTTTTGGTTCTCTCTTTCTTTAGCTTACCACATGTACAGTGGATGGAACACTACAAATGTTTTCTTCTTGAACGGAACATATTGATACCTAAAATGGAACATATATGAACAGTGGAAAGATCACTTGCCCTATTGCTTACCTAATATCAGGTTACAAAATAAAGTGCTATCTAAAACAAATTTCTAAAAAAAATCTAAAAAGCAATTCTAATCCCTATCTTAAAGTACTATATGTGTTAGATTATTTAACGGGAACAAACTCATTAACCTCCTCTACCAAGTAAAACTTATAAAAACAAGATGTTATATTGATAGAACTGATCAGAGCTAAGCTAAATGATAAGCTGCACAAGTTCAACACTATATGGAATCTGTTTTTCTCTCGCCAAACATTGCTCTGGAATTTCTCACATAAGGATCTGTTATGGTTAACTAATGTTATAATTTTATCTCCAAGAGACTCTTTCTCATTAACTTAAATGGGTGACAGTTGCCGCTTGTAAACGCCAGATTATGCATTCCTGCAGGAAAGTTCATGATGCAGGAATCCCTAAATGCACCTAAACTTGCAGATATAAATAGGGCCTTATTGTGTGTCTATTGGTGTCCATAGTACCATGCCGGATATAGTTACATTTTGTTTTGAAATATGAAATTTGGCAAGCAGCCCCATGGAAGAAAAAAAATTGTTGAGTGGCCCCAAAGTGAATTGAGTTTGAGACCCCTGCTCTAGACTAAGGAAATCCCAGATGCTTGGAAGGTATCTGTGATTAGGAGAGGTTACCAAATAGAGTTTGCTTCCATTCCACCTCAGAATCACTGGAGATTGTAGTTCCCAAGATGGAGAAGAAAGAATCTCTGGAATCCTGTTCAAGAATAATTACTAAAGAAAGCAATATTTCTGGCACCTTCTCAAAAAAAGCAAAGGATTTTTATTTTCGTATTTTCCTGGTGAAAAAGGAGTCCGGGGGCTTCAAGTCTTAGGGGTTGATTTACTAACCTTATAAACACACCACGAACATGTATACACCTCTGTAGTGTCTTCCCTCCCAGCATGATCTATGGGTGGAATCTAAACACCTTTGTAGTGTGTACACACCCAGCAGGTGTGTTGTGCATGAATTGCAAGGTGATGTTGTGTTGCTTGCGTTGATGAATGTAAATGCATGAGCTAACCATTTTTGTCTAAACTGTGAAGCATTATATATACATCATGTGCATTATTTTTCCATATATGGCATTAGTGGAAATATGCTTTTAGAGACTTTTTGGTTGATAAATACGTTTTGCTGTGTAAAAATCACACGCACCTAGTGAGTGCGTGTGTTTAGGTTAGTAAATCACCCGCTTAGAGTAAAAAAATCTGAACACGTACATCAAGGCCAAAAGGTTTCGTATGGTATTTTTGCAGAGCATAATTTTAGTAGTCCATAAGAATGACTGGATCATTTCTATATAAAACAAAAACGCTGAGGAGCGCAACTACCTAGGTGCGTGCTACTAAACTTGGTAGGCTAACAATAAACACTCATATAGGTGGTGACTTACTTTCCAGTTGGAGTGTCAACAGGTATATCTGAAGTGGATTGGCATCCAGAGTCTTTCTGTTCCAATGACGAAAGGTGAGGGACTGACGGCTCCTGAACCGTGCGGTAAGAGATTGCAGGCACACGTACTCGGCTGGCCAGGTCAAGCTGCGGCAGCTGTAGAGGGAAGGAGTGGATGACTAATGGCTGAGGAACTCAACTGGAAAGTAAGTCACCATCTATATGAGTGTTTGTTTATTGTTAGCCTACCAAGTTTAGTAGCACACACCTAGGTAGTTGCGCTCCTCAGCCTTTTTGTTTTATATTGTGTTTGTGATCTACATGGTTCCTCTCGCTGTATTGAGGAGCAGTGCACACCATTTCACATTATACACATTTCTGAAGTGTGTCCTTCTCACAGGAGTGCGCTTTATCATTTTTTTTAATCTATTGGATCATTTCTATGAATCTCTCCAATGCCGGTCTGCATGTACCCATTGCCTCCAATTGCTATAAGTATTTACACCTTATGATTTTCAACAGGCATTACCAATTAATTTGTCTCCTGCTTGTTTGTATATGGTCCTAAGGACCTTCTTGAAGGATTGACACAGGGCAGGTCTGCAGAATATCAACATTTCCATTACCTGGATGGTGTCCTAGTATTGGTGAAATCCCATCAAAGGCTGCTAAACAAGACAGTGGTCCTCCAAACATTCAGACTTCAGGTGACTCATAAGCCATCAAAAAAGCCAACTGATCCCTCTTCAAAGAATGGAGTAACCAGGGGTCTTATTTTACACCACAGAGGAGAAGGTTTATTTGCCTCACCGCAAAATTGCGCTACTAATTTCTTGTGTACAGAGGGTAGTCGACTCCCCAGCATTGAATGCGGAAGATTGCATGCTTTTCTTCAGTCTAATGACAGCAGCCATTTTGGTAGTCCTGTGGGCCTTTAAAGTCACCATAGAAGTCATCTGCAAGGCAGCTAGCTGGAGTTTACTCAACTATCTATCAGACATTATAAAGTTGATGTGATGTCTGCTTCTTCCTTTTATTTTGGCAAATCAGTCCTTTCCTTCTGCCTTTTCTCAATAGCAAAGGTTTTTGCAGCAGTATCATATATATGTTCTGATTTTTTTCTTTCCTCCCCTTTTTTTGGCATTGCTAGTTACATCCCGTTGTTGCTGTCAGTGCTGGAGTGCCAGAAATATGGAACATTGTTTGTCCTTTCTCTTAATGACAGCATATTATCCCTTCCAGTGTCCTGTTGTGAGTCTTCGAGATGGAACACTGGCTTGGGTTTTACTCTCTCTTCTTATTAGCTAGTTAGGTGGTCCTGTGTGGGTCAGGGGGGAAAGCTGACTGCTGGTATGCAGTCATGAGGAGTAGCCAGGAAAGGAAAATTACGCTAAGTATTTGACAAACAATTTTCCATATTATTTTATTCGGTCCAAAATGTTTCTTCTGCCATCTCGTATTCCAACCTTGTTTACACAGAGCTTCTGAAAAACAAATAGAGTGTAAAACACAATTTACATCTGTAACAAACTGATTATCCATATCGAAAAGAATTCTCTTCTGCGTATCAACTGACTATAAATAAAATATATGTTTTTCTTTTTATATCCTAAATGTTGGCATCAAATAAAAATGCTATGAAAGATCTAGTCCCTAAAGGTCATATCAATATATATTATTCATCTTTTTACCTTGCATGCAGAAATTATCTTCCCAAACATGATCTGCTTTTAAAAGAACCTGTCATATTCTATACAAATTTTTAGAAGAATTTTTTTTTGTTTTTGTTTTGAAGATTCATTATCCCAGGCATCCCTCACATATAAGTAAAGGTATCCATTCTGCCCCTACAGCTATATGCTGAGGTAAATACAATGTGAGGCATATATATATATATATATATATATATATATATATATATATATATTGTGGCAGTGTAAGCCAATACCACGGTGTTAGGTGGCCTCAAAGT